GGCTTTGTGTTTAGGATTTTGGGTTTGTAGGGGTTTAGAGGTTTGGCGTTTAGGTGTTCAGGGTTCAGGTATAGGGTTTGGAGGTATTTTGTGAAGCAGGCCATCGGGGAATTTGGCTACTGAACGGCGATTGTATATTGGACTCTAACATGATGTAAGGAGAGTGCATTGTGGCAGCCCTCGACTTCGAGATTCAAACGGCTGAGGGCTTAGGGCCTTAGGGTTCACAAGGCTCCAGGGCTTTAGGGTTTAGGGCTTGGGTTTAAGGTTTAGGGTTGAGGGCTTTGGGTTTAGGGCTTTAGGGCTTGGATTTAGGGTCCGCGCTCAAGGTTGCAAAGCTCCAGGAATGAATCCTCATCCCATGAGAAGCAGAAGCTCCATACTGGATTTAGGTTTGACGGCGACTGGAATCAGCATATGGGTAGTTCTCTAAATTAGGGTGCCTTTAGGGGCATTTTAGGGTCCTTATAGGGTGCCGTACTATTTGGGGGACCTATAAAAGGGGACCCTACTTTAGAGATAAAGCTTTTACTTTGCAGGTTCGTTTCGCAACTCTTTCTATCGAGCTTTCAGGCAGCCCTGTTAAAAGGTAGGCGATGGTAGTTTGAGGTATACCTCGTACGCCAAAGACCATTGAAAGACTGGTATGCAGGCACATATCCAAACCCTGAAGCCTTAATCCTTGATTTCACTCCCAAAGCTACAAGCCCTAAACTCTAAGCTCATTAACTCTTTAACTCAAAGCCTTATACCCTTACCACCGTAACTGACATGCCTTATGAAGGACAACAAAGGCGAATCCTAAGTAGGAGCTCTGCAAGACTGCCTCGGGTTCAGGTAAACCTGAAGCCCTGATGCCCCCAACCATACACCCTAAACCCCTAAACTATAAACGTTTAAACCCTACACCCTAAACCATAAGCCCTAAACCCTAAACCCCTAAATCCTAAACCGTAAACCCTAACCCGAAAAGTATTCCTGTCACAGGCAGAGGCTGGGCAGTCGCAGGAGGCAGCAGAGGCACTGGGCTTCGCAGTCGGCATGCGCTGGACTCCCAGTTGGAATAAGGCGGATTTAGGGTTTAGGTGTTTTGTGTTTGGGGTTTGTAGGGTGCTTTCAGGGCTTTAGGGTTGTCGGATATCTGATTTTTGGCTTCGGGGTTTAGGGCTTTTGGTTTAGACTGGCCGCTGGGTTGTGCATAAGGGGTCCATTGCAGGTGACATGGGTGCCGTTGGTTTATCCTTACTTAGCACTAGAAAGAAGCTCTAGGTTCTTCGATGAGTTCCAGAGACTACTAGTCATTACTAGTCATACCTTCGAAACCTACGCCCTTAAAGGCTTGCGCGGAGGATCACGGGACTTAGCCAGAATGGATTTAAGTGCCTTCCTTTGGGGTTTTAATATATACAGACAGAGTGGAATTACTTGGAACCCTGCTATGAATTCGTTTGGTGCTTTAAGTGCATTCCCTGAAGGCTTCAAAGGAGGTAATCGGTCATTCAACCAGGTGCGTTTCAGAGCACCTAAGGCTCCGGCAGGGATCCGAATCCCTTGCCCCGTCAGGGTCAGGGTCTTTACAAACGGCCATAGTAATTTAAACTACTCCCGGGTCCCCTTCTAAGAAGTAGGGTTTAGGCAACCTCGATTTCTACGTGTGAGAATCGCAGCGTTTAGGGTTCAGAGATCACAGCAAGACTCAAGGCACTGGACGCCCAGCTTTTTCGAAGCCCGTCCTGAATCCTACATCATAAACTCTTTCATCCCCGAAACCCCCTGAGCACGAACCCTAGAGTGGATTCTAAATCCCACTAGCCGTGAGTTCCATCTTTTATAAGCCATAAGCCCTAAAACGCATGCTCCCATAAACGCGAGATCAAAGCCGGCCTAGCTCCCATGACACTATAACACTGATTCCCACAAGCTGTACACCCGAAGCCTTTAGACAGAAACCTCACATAAACCTTATTCCCAGAAGCTGAACACCCTAAGCGCCACGCAAAAACGCTCGAAATCCTGCATCGTGCCGAGAACAAACCCCAAAAAGTTGGCAACAGGATTAAGGACAATTAGCGCTGGGATTCCCTATGCTTTACTCTTAAGTCTTACGGATTGAAGCTGTTGGGTTTCCAACTGTTGGGCTGCTACTGTGGACTTACGCTCACTGCAGACCAAACTTAAATGAGACCTGCGCTTAAGATTTACCTTTGAGGGACCGCAAGGGCTCTGCAACATGCAACCCGCGAGGTCCTGATAGACCAGGGGCCTCAACCTCTAAACCCTACTGCAGGGGGCCAAAATCAATAATTATACCCCAAACTCACACCCCATTCTAATTATTAAGGCCAAACTCCATGCTCAGGCGGGGCCATCATTGATGCCGCTCTGAGGCTTTTGCCAGATGGGCCGTGCTCCCAACTTCGTGATTTATGGACAGTGTTTAGGGTATCGGTTTACGTTGTACTTTGCCATTAGGGCTCCTTACTATCCCCCCAAACCATAATCTAATCAGTAAGGCCGCCTCCCTACATTCCTCAATTTTCAATCCTACTTTGAGATTTCGACTTCCCTGCAGGCTCCATGCAGGAGCCAGGACACTCAGTCAGTCACCTCAAGCCCCAATATGGGGCTTTCCGAAAATGGGGGACCCAAATATAGTATATACCCTAAATAGTAGGATCCTTAAGGACCCCAAAATAAGGACCCCTTGTTTTCGGAAACTCCCAACATAGAAGCTTGACCTCAATTGCCAATGCTACCTCCGCAGGGTTCTTGAATATACCCATGGTCTCCATTGTAGTGCTTCTTGTGGCTAGCCGACTTTATGGTTGGATCCTATGTTATAACTTTGGCTAACAAACACGGAACTACAACGGAGACTATAGGTATACATCTTTTCTGCAGTATATACTTCTCAAAACTCCCCGAACCCCTAAACCCCCGAAGCTCTCGTAGTAGGACCCGTATGTGTAGCCCGCCACCTGGACATCCAGGCCGCAGGTTGTGCTAGAGCTCGGCTGTGGTGTGGGCTGTGCTGCGGCCTTAGCTGCGAAACTCCGGAATTTAGGGTTTAGGGTTTAGGGCTCGGGGTTGAATCGAGGGTGTAGGGGTTTAGGGCAGATTGTAGCCCGTAGGGCCCTGGATTCAGCCTCAAACCCTAAGCCCCACCACCATACAGAGACTCCCCACGATGGCCATTAGTATTCACTTATATAGACCCTCTTTTAAAGTCACCTCAGTATGCTATACCCCCCCTAACTCCAGATTCCAGCCATCAAAGCCCTCACGATGGGTTTCCATCAACCCTAAGGGTCCACGTGCCCAAAAAGTATATATATATATATATATATACGTTGGCCGTACAGTACCTCATGGCCAAAGTAATGCAAAGTATATACATATGTATATATATATACATATACACGACTATATATATATATATCTATATCTGTATCTATACTGTTTTTGGTACATGGACCCTTGGGGCAAGCGCCTGGCAAAAAGATCGCTGCGACCACCCGAGTTCGGTGAAATCGTGGTTCAGGGTGTTGGGTTGAGGGTTTCGGGCCGTTTATCGTCTTCTTGATCCAAACCAAACTTTTCAACTTTTGGGCCTCTTATGAGGTAACCTTATTCTGAAAGTTTGGGCTTTTCGATGCACGGGTATTTTTTGGGAAGTGAGGTGTCGGCTTTCGATGTGAGACTTCAAGACTGGGAGTTCGCAACCTTGAGCCGCAGGCCCGAAACCCTAAGCCCTAAACCATCAACCGTATAAGCCCTAAACCCCAACCCAAAACCCAAAGCCGAAGACCTAAACCCATAAACCATAAGCCCTAAATCCGAAACCCACCCCTAAGCCCTAAACCCGAGCTAGAGCCCCAAAGCCTAAGCCGAAGCCGCTCTCGAATTTCCAACTCGAGGGATGTACTTTGTGCTTTGTTTGGGGTTGAAGCAAGCCCCTGAGCCCTGAACGATACACGAGGGTTTGGTGGCTTTAGGGGTTCAGGGTTTTGGGCGTAGGCAATTTCCTAAACCCTAAACATTAAACCCTAAACCTTAAACCCTAAACCTTCAACCCTAAACCCTAGACTCTAGAAGTATTCTGAGAGCTTTCCGTGGACGTTTTAGAGGCAACCCTTCGGGCAGCTTGCCAATTGCCAGCCGGCTCCGCTGCTGCCCCAGCTTCGAGGAATTTGGGCCTTACCAGTCTGGTGTGTGTCGGCTTTACGGCTTAACTTGTTGTTTTACGAGGGTTACCTGCAGCCCAAAGAACCTAGCCTTAAGGGTTTATAGAAGGAACTCGCCATAATAATTAAGGAGCCCCAAGAAGGTAGGTTATTTGGGGTAGAGTCGGGTAGAGGTTGGGGTTTGGGGGTCTGGGGTTTGGGAGATGTCGGGATGTCGTTTCAATTAAGGGCCGAGGACACATGTTTGAGGGGGTGCTGCGGGGTGTGACGTTCAGGAATTAGGGGGCTTTAGGGTTTGAGCGTTTGGGGACGGAGAAATGGTTGGGATTTCAATCAGTATTCCGGTAACAGTGGCTTCTTTGTGTTGTCGAGAAGCCCGAAGGGATCCTGGACGTGTTTGCTTTCTTTCCTTTGGGAGAAGATGGCCAAGGAAGCCATGAATCAACCAGCTTCACCTCGCGAATCTTCCATGATAGGCCAAAAACACACAACAACCTGTTAAGATCTGACACTAAGAAAGCCCTTCGTCAACCCCTACAAGCCCTACAGAACTCTTGTTTATCATGCCGTGGCACAGCGCGCCGCGTTGGATCTTGAGCTCAGCCGACGAGACCTTGCAAATGTGACCGCACCTCAGTAGGTCGACGGAGCAGGACTTCGGGCTTGTAGGGATTGAGGGTTAAGGGCCTTAGGACGCTACTGCGAGAACCCCTTAGACTTTACGCAAAGAGCAGGCTTAGAGCTTGCGTAATTTCACGTTTCACGGGGCTGTCGGTTGCTCGCTTCCTTGCTTTAACAGAGCGCCTTTGTGGAGCCATGGGCGACGAAGAAGTTTCGAAGAAGATGGAGTCCCTGTCTGTCAGTGAAGGCGTCTCGGTGGGTGGCGGGGGGTTGAGGGCGAGATGTCTGTAAAGGGTTCCATCAGGGTTCCACAGCGGTTTCATGATTTCTTTTCCGGGTTCTACCGCAGTTGCGGGTGGGGCGAGGGAATGCGCATCTGATCTTTCTGCAACGAAAGGTCCCCCTAATCAGGCGTCCTTTGTCAAGGATCCTCGAGCCTAAACATTTCTGGACGATAATCCCTAACCCCGGAGCAGAGACAGCAACAAGTTAGTGGTCCCTGGCGGCGATGATGAAGATGCAATTTCACGGCCCAGCACTCAACCCTACCGAAAGGCAGGTTCTGGTTGGTTGAGGTAGGGATAGGCCGCAGAGCTCACCAACAGCACCACAGCACCCACAAGACCCTCAACACCAAGTTGAATGCCTCAGAAATTCATTACCCAAAGAATTCGAGAAGAAGGCTAAACAAATTGTACGAGCTTTGAATGTCCTACAAAACCCTGAACACCGAAAACAAAAACACAACAACAGACCAGACTCTTAGCCCGAAAGCCCTTAAGCCTTGAAATAAACCCCTAGACCCCTTACGCCCCTTAGCCCTATAACGCTTGACCCGATAAGAAAAAAGGCGAGAAGACGTGGGATCCGATGGCCTTTCCCGAAGACCGCATCGCGCACTGGAGGACCAGTCTTTGTGTTTTTGTTTTGAGGGGGTGTGGTTCTGTAGGGGTTCATGGTTCTGTCGGGTTCTATAGGAGCTTTGGGGTTTATAGGCTAGGGTTTTGTAGGCGTTAGGTTTTAGGAGTTCAGGGAGTCGGGTTTTAGGATTAGGGGTTCAGGTGGAGTTAAAGCACAAAGCGATGTGGGCAGTAGGCTCTGTCGAGGCGCGCTCACCCAGAGTTCCTTCGGACGCGGCTCCCGCTGTGGCGCCGTGCACAGCGTTCGCTCACGTCCAATTCTCACACGATCTGTTCGCGTTTCCGGAAAGCCACACTCACCCCAACGGTCCAAAGGACCCAATAATAAGGTACTTTGGTTGCGGATAGTATCGGATAGTACTTATCTAGGTCAATATTTGGGGGAGTATATGCTTATTGGGCACTTGGACCCTTAGAGTCATAGCAACTGCATATATTCTCGGAATCCCGCACTACTACCCTGAGCCCTAAGTGGGTAAGTGGGACAGTACTTGGGCCGTCCTTTTGCATCCCGGCATATGGGGGACAGCCTTTGGAAAGCATGTTGGCCCTTTTGAGGTTTAGGGTTTAGGGTTTCAGTGTCCTGGTGATCTCCTTGTGGTCTGCTGACTCCTCGTAGTCTCCGGTTGGTGATCTGGGGGTGGTATGCTCGCATGGTTTGGGGTTTCTACGGGTGTAGGATCTATAGATTTAGGCTTAGGGTTCCCTGATGGTCTCTTCCTGGTCTTCTCGTGGCCTCTGCGGTCTCCTCCTGGGCTTCGTCGTGGGGAGGTTGTGGGGTCTGTATAGGGGCTAAAGGATCCGGAGTTGATTGTCTTTGGCCTTCCAAGCTTGAAGGTTATGCACAGGTTAGTATAGCTGGGTTAATCATAAACCCTAAATTGAATCCTAAGCCCTAAACCGCCTAAACCCGAAAACATAAACCCTAAATAAATAGTCGGGCCGAGCAACTGAATTCGTGCAGGATTTAAGCTTGTAGTGTTTTTAGATTCAACATGACAGGTTTGGGGGTTCAAGGTTAAGGGTTGAGGGATTAGAGATGTTGGCATGGAGGTTGAGATCATCATGCCTTACAGGTCTATGTTTTTGGGGTGTGAGCTGTAGGAGCAGACAGATGATCCCTGACATCCAGCCCTAACTTGAACTAGAAGTGGGACTAGAACCCTAAGCTCTGAATTTGTTGAACTTTCAGGGGATCCGTGAGCAATTTCCAGAAAGCAGAGGACCCCACCAAAGACCCCCAAATAGTCGGATCCTTGTAAAACAAGAAGACCCCCGACCCAAAACCCAAGTGTTTCTATTAAGAATCTGCCGAAAGAACCGGAAGTTTGGTAAATCTGTGTTTAAGGCCCTGGTGCTTTCACCGAAGCCCGAAGCCTCACCAGTCTAGATTCTCCAGAAGTGAAGCAGGAAATGCTTTGATGGGCACCCTGACGTCAAGGAGCTGGATGGTAAGAAGGTCTTGGTATCTTGGCACCACCCTAACCCCTGACTAAGCCACTTTGACGAGCGCAGGGTTTAGGGCATGCCCATCTTAAGTCGGATAAAAGCCTGCTTTGCGGTGTTTTGTGGTTTTAAGGTTCAGGGTTGAGTCTTTTTGTTTTTGGGTAAAGTGCTTTGGGTTTGGGGGTTCAGGTCTTTAAGTAGTTGTAGGGCTCCCCGATACCCTTCCAATCCAGGAGTTGGCCTTTAATAACGAAAGTGATTCTTAATGCGCCAGTATACTCCCCAAACCCTAAACCCTCCTTCATTGGGGGGGGAAGACCTGCATCTGTACTAGACAGGACTTCTGACATCATGATCCAAGTTCTGTTCCTTAACCAATGTAAACTTCAGTTCTCTGGCCCCTAGGCTTAGCAAATTGAGAACTTCGTATACAACTCTAAAATTCTGAAACACTTGCGACACCTGTTTTCATCCTGACAAGACCTCTCTAGAGCCCTCATAAAACTTCGTGAAGCCCCATAAAGCCTTCAGTTAAACTGTGTTGCTTCGGGGCTGCCATGTGTTGAGTGTTATTTGTTTGTCTATCTGCTAATATAACTACTACCATTGTAATTATGTTTATTACTATTGTTATCACAATCACTAGTTCTTCTATTAAACATTCTAAGCTGTCATGAAAATATAGTTCCTTTTCGGGGTTGCCTCATAGGATCCTAGGTATATAACTGGTTAAGCCGAAAAAGGAACCACAATGGAGACTATAGGTATAGTCTTGGTGGCACCCATAAAACCCATCTGTTAAAAGGAATTCATCCCTGAACCCCGAACCCTAAACACTGGTTGTGTTGAGTCTGTGGGAAGCTCAAGGCACCGAAGCTCGTTTACCAACTCATGTTCACCGAGGCAGAGCGCCCGACTGGGTTTGGGTTTTGGGGCTTCGGGCATAGGTCTCAGGGTTTATAGGGTTTAGGCGGGTTTGGGGCGTATGGCGTGGGCTTTCGGGTTTAGGGAGGAGTTTCGACGGAGGATGCGATTGTCCGGCTTCTGTTGCCGAAACTCTCAGCCGCCAAAACGGGAGTTTCATGCCCCTAACTCTAAAGCAGGGTGGTGGATGACAGCTTCTGAGCAGCAGCAGCAGCAAGTAGTAGCTAGTCACGAATACATGAAAGAAGGACAAGGAATGCGTAGTCATCATCGTCGTGGTCACTGGCAGCGGTACCGGCGTAATCATGCTGCTGTTCATCCTCGCCATCGCCTAGACCGTCGTTGTCCCAAAAAATGTTGTAGTGGTCGTCATCACTGCTATCATCACCATGCCAGAATAGCTACAAGCATCGTCGCTGTAGTTATTTTTTCACAATCATGATCAGCACTGAATTTTCTATCATCTGCATCATCATCATCAGCCTCCTCACTAGCACTGCAGCTTCGGCGTAGATGAAGATGCCACACGCCCAGATTCCGTGTTTTCGGAGTCCGACTCTGGTGACACTTGTGTTTGTTATTTGTTGACGTGCAGGCATCAAACAAGAAGGTTCGCGAATTTAGGTCCGGAAATTTGGAATCAGCTATTGTAGCCCGTCCTGCCAGAACTGAGCAGACATGTTGCATTAACATGTCCAAAGACTTAACATCGGCTTCAATTTCTTAGCATAAAGGCCCCTGCATGGAACCCCAACTTCAAGCTTTCTAAGTTTCGGTAAGAACAAGGAGAAGTCTGAGACTTGTCCTTGCCGTTCCCATTTCCCATCATGCGTCGAAGCAGGATGAGGTTGAACAGGTTCCAGACCGCACATCCTGAAACCTCACACCGGAGTGCCCTAAGGCCCCAAACCCTAAAGCTCTGAAGCTTACATCCGTACACTTCAGACCCCTTCAACCCCATGAGGTCTCAACTGGTAAACCCGTCCCCGCCATAAGCCCTCGCCTAGCGCCGAAAGCCCATGCGCCCAACATATCCAGCAGGACGAGCGGAAGGAGTACGGCTTCAAGGTGAGCTGCTTTGATGGTCTAAGGTGTTAGGGGGTTTAGGACTTAAGGTTTAAGGGTTTCGGGGTTTGGGACTTACTTTTTAGGGCCTAGTGTACCAAAGCAAGACGCAGAAGCAGAACGAAAGCACTGGCAGCAACGATGCAAAGCTAAACGCACCGACTAACTTAGTGATCCCTAAACCCCAAACCCTGAACCTCAACTTTCCACCCACCACCTCCCAGGTTCAGGGTTCAGGGGTTAAGGAATCGGGGTTTATGGGGTTTACGGGGTTTCAAGTTTGTAGTGTTTGAGGGTGCAGGGGTAACGTTTATCGAGTTCGGGGTTCGGCTAGAAGGGGTTTCGGGTTTAGGAGGGCTGAGAGTGTGGGGGGGCTTGGGTTCAGCAGGATCCCTTCTTTCCAAGGTGCTGGCAAGGAATGCGTCTTTTTCGAGATGAGTAAGTCCTTTCCATGCAAAGGCAATGTTCAAAGGCCTTAAGTCCTGTCATCCTCACATGTAAGCCTTCATCCACGGATAGTGAAGTCTCAGAACATGAAGGATCCTCGATTCCCCGAATAGTACGCTCCGTGTTACAAGGACCTTTGAATCAAACATCATTAGCTTAAAATGCCCTCTAGCCTGAACCCGACACCCTAAACTCCGCACCCCAAACCCTAAATTTCCTAAATCCCACCATCCTAGCCATTTGGCAGTCCCCTAAGCCCTAAGCTCCAAACCCTACAACCCGAAACCCTAAGCCCTGGTCGGGAAGGATTTCGAGTCGGATCTCAAGGCGACGGTGGAGGCATGCCTGCTGCTGCTCCAGTCCCTCTGGGGCTTGCATACGGGCTACACCCATGCACACAGACGCACAGACATACACAGACACCCTCTCTCTCTCTCTATATATATATATATAACTTGTATATATATATATGTAAATATGACATCACTTATTGATCTGCTTATGTTGATATGTATGTGCAGGTTGTGCTATCCAGATATGTTTACATAAGCAAGCTAAGTAAGTAAGTAAGTAAGTAAGTAAGTAAGTAAGTAAGTAAGTAAGTAAGTAAAGTAAGTAAGTAAGTAAGTAAGTAAGTAAGTAAGTAAGTAAGTAAGTAAGTAAGTAATTAAGTAAGCAAGCAAGCAAGCAAGTAAGCAAGTAAGTGAATGTATGTATGTATGTATGTATGTATGTATGTATGCATGTATGTATGTATGTACGTATGTATGTATGTATGTATGTATGTATGTACGTATGTATGTATGTATGTATGTATGTGCATACACAAGTACACGGGTATGCATGTACGTATATACGTATGTATGTATGTATGTATGTATGCATGTGTATGCCTGTCTGTGTGTATGCATGTGGGCATGCTTGCATGCAAGGGTGGATGGATGGCGGGCTGGCTGGCTGAGTGGGTGGGTGGGTGGATGGATGGATGGATGGATGGATGGATGGAGGGAGGGAGGGATGGATGGATATGTGTGTGTGTGTGTGTGTGCAAAAATATATATATATATATATGAATGCATGAATGAATGTATGTATGCGTTTACATGTCAGAGATGGGGCGTATAAGGCTTATGCGTTTTGCAGGGTTCAGGCTTAGGGACTTGTGCAGAGGCACTCTTGACATGAAGGTCATGCCACTTACGGTTCATATTGGGTTTCCTATAGTAAAAGATACCCCAAAACCTAGGCCTGAGTCTCATGAGCACGGTGCGTATATGATGTGACCCGGGGGCCTGGCAAATTAGTCACACTGTTGCATGGAGAGACATATAGTCCGAAGCCACCCGAGAGCCTATATCGGTTTAGGGTTTTAGAGGGTCTATGTAGTCTAATTCTTTGACTGCCAGACTCATGTTTAGGGACTGGGGGTTTGGGGCTAAGGCATTCATTCATGCCTCGGCCCCTAGATGGCAGCGCCAAGCTAGACTTGGGTGGCCGAACATCCTCAACGTGACTATCAGGCCCTAGGCCCTGAAGTACCATCTATGATAGAGCCCTCATGCTCCTCTTTGCCCAGTGGCATGTACGCAAAGTGGGAGGCTAGTTGAGTGTTTCAGGCAATCGCAGCTTCCCGAATCTATCTATTTTCCGAAGCTTTCTGCAGGAGCTTGGTGACACGATGAGCTGGCAAGATCTGGAGAAGTACATCCAGGAAAACGCCTAAGATAGCATGCAGGACTCGCCAACGTGGAGGGCCTCCAAAGGTGGTTGAACGGTGGCTTACCCTATATGCACCGGCTGTTGTAGATTGCCCCACCTGCTTTCATCCTACCTTTGGAGCGCTGCCATTTCGTTTAATACTGCATCGGTGCTCTCTTTCGCCTAAAGGGAGTGGCGCCGCGCAGCTGAGTGGGAGGAGTCCTGGAAGAGACGAGGACATTTGCTTAGATGGCTGAGAATGTAGAATATAGGGAACCCCGCCAGTAAACCCCTAAAGCGTTTTCAAGCCTCAACACACCTCTGCACCATGATTCCTGGACGACCTCCTCAAGTTCCCGGAGCTTCAAATCCGAATGGACAGTATGTGCCGGACTTGACGGGCTGGGCCCCCAAAAGGAGCTAAGAACCATGTTCCTATAAGCCTTAAGGTTTGATACGGCTTTTATTGTCGCATGGTATTTTGATAGCGTTCTCTGGAAGTGGGATTTAATCGGTATCCAGTTCGGGTTTTCCAGCTCCTGAGCTACATGTAGCGTCTCGGCCATGACGGTCATGGGACTTAACCCCGAAGGCAGGCACATGTAGGCCCAAAGCGCCCCCGGGTGGCAGGGCTCCTTGACTCGAGTAGAGCCGCTTCAACAGTTCGAACGAGCTTAAACCCTATAGCCCTACCTAGACCCCCCAATTACTCGTACCATCTACCATATCCCAGATACCGTTTATTCAGGACCATAAGGGCTTCATTTCGGTGTACTTGAGGGGGCTGGGCAAACCTTAAACTCTAAGCTGAACAACTTCTGGCCCGATCATGTGCTCCAAGGCTTTGCTTCGTATTGGTTTCGGGTCATCTGTACGCATATGGGTGTCAATACGCAGCTGGCTAGCTGAACGAACACGGGAGACAAATGATACATGACCACATTGCATGCATGCATACACACACACACACACACATGTACATACGTTCATGCACACACACGTATGCATGCATGCATGTAAATGTATGCATGCATGTACCCATACTTGGCTACCTACCTGGCTACCTACCTACCTACCTACCTACCTACCTACCTACCTACCTACCTACCTATCTACCTACCGACCTACCAACCGACCTACCTACCTACCGACCTACTTACCTACTTATTTGGCTTCCAACCGACCTGCTGACCTACCGAGCTTTACCGACTAACCGACCTACGTACAAACATGCAACTGCATAATCTTGCATACATACCCAATCGAAAGAACAGACTTACAGACGTACGCTCCCTCAGGGTTTTAGGTTCTGAATGTCGGGTTTGGCATGTTCTGAGTTTCCTTCTTCGGCTGCTGTCAGTTTCGTGTTTATAGGGCATCAACACAGCTCGTACAGAACCTTCCCCTAACAGTCATAGGGCTCCTAAGGGGGCTCCAATGTAGACGACTGTCCTGTTGAAAGAGGCCGTGTGGGGTTCAATGCTGGTTTCAGGGAGGGCCCTTGTCTATGCACATTTGTGGAGTTTGGCTTTGTTTTGTGGAATTCTGGATGACCCAAGCGCGGAGACAACAGTTATCCTTGAACCCCAAACCCTAAGCCTTCAATTCTCAAGCTCATCTCCTTGAAGATCCGAGGATGGAGCCGTAGCCAGGGTAGCTGGACAGAAACTTTACACTCAATGCAGAGCATCAAAAGAGTCAGAGGGCTAGGGTTTACAATTTAGGATCCTTAGGAATCAAAGACTCAGGATCAGGGGTTTGGCGGCGGTGGGGTTAAGGATTTTGGGTTTGCGTTAGCGCTGTAGAATTATGTTGGGGTCTTAGTTATGTCCGCTGTCCTGCTGAGC